ATCACTTAATTTATCATGTCATCAAAAGATATTTTTTTTTATTAGTGAGGTGGGATCCATTTAAATGAATTTGACACATGATAATATGATTTGGCACACGGTAATATGAAATATCAAAATGTTTGTCCATATCATCACTTTGCTCTACACATCATCAAAAATAAAAAATAAAAAATGCCACATAAGCGAAGTTAACGGCTCAAATTAACAGAAGGACTAATGGAGTGCATTTCTTGTAATTGAAGGATCAAAAAAGTGTAAAAAATTGTTGAGGGATCAAAAATGTTTATTTCTTAAAGTTAAGAGACAAAATTTAGCATTTAACCTTCTCTAGAATATATAGCCTTTGTTTCGATATTTTGATTGTTTTACTATAAAAGAAGAAGAAGAAGAAGCATGATATCTTCGTTCTCCTTGTAATGTTGAAATATTAATTACAAACTTGACTAATAAATATAGGGGATGTTTGGGTTAACTTTTAAGAGTTTCAGCTTTTTGATACTATTTATATTTTATAAGTTAAAATTTTTCTCTTAAAAATTTATATTTATTAACTTTTTTTTAACTTTAAAAAGACCTTAGATAGTAAATTTTGAAAAACTTTAAATTTGTGCTTTTTATAAATTTTCTTTTTATTCACTTCTTACTCATTTCTTATTCATTTTTTTTTTATTTCTAAAAGCAAATTTTAAATTTTTTTCTCCAATAAAAATTTAAACTTATCACTTATAAACAGTACAAAAAAAATAAAAACTCTTACAAGTTAACCCTAACATACTCATAATAATGAAACACTAAGTTAAGATTTATTGTATGATTTTCCAAGATTTTATTGTAGATGATTCAGCAATGTTGGGATATTAATGCATTCGTCATAAATATTTAATATCATAGTGATTGATTGTGGCTTGTGATATCCTTGGATTTGAATTATTCTTGACTATAAAGTCTATATATATATAAAGAGACTATTTAATATAACGATTAAAATTCAATAAATAATAATAATAAATTATAAATATAGTAAATGATAAGTATGTAGTAGGTAAAGACTCTTATTAATTTATTAATGCACTTATTATAAAATGTTGATGTTATATTGATTGATTGTGTTTTGGAAACACTTCTCAATCATTCTTGATTGTCTACTTCATATAAATGCTATATTATATAGAATTATGAGTAATGATTTTTAGAAACAAATTTTAGGATAAAATTATTTTAACCATTGATTACGTGAATCTATATAAAACTCACACCATAATTAATGATTTACCATATATTTCTATTAAAATTTAGTTCTAAAAGTGTTGATCTTAAGTCTTAACCATCATTAGTATAGAATTATTCAAGGTAACAAAAACCTCCGTCACATATTTTTGAATTTTTCTTTCTAGTTTCAAAATATATTGACTCTAAACGATATCTAACGATCCTACCGAATGATAGAGATATTTTAAAATAACCCTCAAAGTATGTCTTTGTTGAAAACGAAGGAGAAGAGAGATATCCACTTTGGAAAGGGGCAACATTGTCATGACAATTTGAACACCCAAAACCCCCTAAGAAACATTCTCAGCTAAAAGGGTTATTAGTGGTTAGTGTGGTTTTAGTGCGTTGTCCTTTGTGTTTGTCCTCCATGTGCCCAAGTCAACCAGGCAGGTTATTAGGTGTTTAACGCACCAAAAGATGCCACTTGGAGGTTTTATAAAGAATCGATCTCTAGAAAACCGCGGGAGGCAATGATTCAAGCATTAAATCCGCACAAAGAAAGAGTCCAAGTCAATTTTATAAAAATATAAAGTTATGAACTCGTTGCGCAGGCAGCATGCTCTTCTTCGTTCTTCTAGATTATATATCGCATCACCAGACCAAAGATTTTCGGTTTAAAGGTGCGATTGGGATAGCTGTTGAGATTTTTTGTGTAATCATACAATATTTTTAAATATACGTATGTTTGATAATTTTTTT